CTCCCCTGACCCTAGGCAGCGCACACGTTGGTGGATGTACCACTCATCCACCACGCCGCCGGCCGCCGCGGATGACATCACCGACGTCGTCCTGGCTCTCCTAGCCCCCATCAACAACGCCTACTGGGAGAGGCGCAATCCATGGGTCCTCGGGCCAGACGACGACTCTGACGCCGAGTCCTCTGACGACTACGACGCTGACGAGTCTGACTACTACTCCTCTGACGACGAGGTGGACGAGGTCGTCGTACTCTCCTCCGACTCCTCCGATGACGAGCCTGATGTGCAGCTCCTGGCGCCCGTCCTCGACGCCGTGGAGGGGTAGAAGAACAACCCAATTGAAGTGGATAAGCTGCCGGAGGTCGCCGACAACCCAGAGCTCGTCGTCGTGAAGCAAGAAGAGGAGGGCGGCGGTGAAGATGTGGTGGAGCCAGCGCCGGCCAAGAAGAAGAGGGCGGCGGTGAACAACAATGACGTGCGACGCTCCCAACGCCTGAAGATGTTGAAGGAGGAGGAGTGACATGTTGTCTTCAGTTACGTCAGTAGAAGAAAAAGTTCAGTTTCGTCAGTATGTTAGTATGCCTGTTCTATCTATGTCAAACTATCTATGCAGGTAATATCTATGTATGCCAGCATTATGAACTTGCTATCTATGTTCACTATCTACTTGCTATGTACTTGCTATCTATGTTAAGTTCTGCTTGCTATCTACTTGCTATCTATGTTCAGTTATGCTTGCTATCTACTTGGTGACAGTGTTATCATTTCCAAGTATGTCACTGCTGTCATCACAAACTAAACTTAATTAAACCTGATAATTGAAACTGATAATTCATGACAAACAACATACAATCCAAGGTTCATTGCTACAGAAATAGTAGAGTTCACCACAATAAAGCTTAACACATTACAAACTTTCATCCATAGCTACTACAAAAGACATCATTGGCACACATGGTCAGGCAACAACACAACTTAGTCCTCATCACAAATAGCCTTAATCTGGTTAAGCTTACTCTTGTTGCTATCACCTGCTGTCTTGAGCTCAACAATGCAGGAAGGAAGAGTACTCTTCTCCATGGTCAACTTCTCCTTCGGTTTCATCAGCTCAGCAATGCAACAATCCAGCTTATCCTTCTCTTTCTTCAGGTCATCCTTCTCTTTCTTTAGGCCAGCATAGCAAATCTCCAAAGTCCTCTTATCAGAGCTCAACTTTTCCTTCTCTTTAAGATGGTTGAACTTCAAATTCCTAATGACAGTGGCTTGAGCTACATGAATTTGCTTTAACTGGTCAACAACAGCCTTCAATTTTTTGATCTCAGCATCCTTTGTCATGCTGCTTTCCACACTCACTGAAATGTTCTCAGCATCATTCTTCTAGTTTACCTCAGGCTGGCTATCCTTATAATCCAAGAGGTTGTTCACATCTTCAACAAGCTTCTCATATGTCTCCTGCAACTCTTTTTTCTGTTGTGTCAGATTGTGTACAGTGCAGGCATGCCATCCTGTTATTATGCTGGCTATCCTCATACATAAGCCACAGCTTATGAATAGCATTCTGCAGATGCTCTAGCCAATGCTCATCTACCCACTGCACTAATCCACAATTTGCAACACCCTACAACAGAAAAAGTCAGTTCAAAATTAAAGACATTACTTACAAATTCAGTTAAATAGCTGATTCAAAATCCGATTCATTTAATGATGACTAATTATGAAAACTACAACTAAGAACAGTACCTATGAACCCTAGAACTAAATTCAGTAACTATGAACCGTACAACTAAATTCAGTAACTATGAACCCTATAACATGAACAGTAACTATGAACAGTAAATATGAACCCTAGAACATGAACAGTACCTACAAACCCTAGAACAAGAATTGGAATGCTGCAAAGACACAACTTGAAACTTACTTCAGTGGCACAGGCAATGAACCCCCTCCCAATGCTTATCCCCTCAAATGCAACATATTTCCTCCTTGGATTCCCATGCTCACAAATCACATTCAAGTCGTCAACAAGACCCTCGAACGACGGCTCATCAATTGTAGCTGGGATCTGAGAAATCCAACAAAAATTTGTTCAAATCGAGCAAATGTTGAACCCTAGAAACCATATAACACAAATGAGCAATAGAAGGTTCTGACCTTGACAGGGGAGTCATCGGAGGAGATGTACTGCGCGGCGGAGCCCTCAGTGCTCTCGCTGTCGCTCCAGGACACCATGGCGGCCGGCGGCGGCCGGAGAGGAGAGGAGCAAGAGGGAGGGGAGCGAGCGAGCGTGAGAGCAGAGAGAGCGAGCGAGATGTGGTTGGGCGCGGGCGGTCTGTCTCTCGCGACCTGACCGCGTCGGTCTTAAGGTAACGGCGCCGTCCGCGCGTCCGTTAGGACACGTCACCAAAATTGGGGCCCACCTGTCGGAAACACCCTCAACCGCGCCAAATGACAGGTTCAGTGCAATCTGCAAAACTTTTACTGAATGCGCGGTGGCTTTTACAAAAGATTAGCGATCAGGTTGTTTTCTGCAAGAGAAGCCCCAAATTTGGTGGTTTCTTGCAATTCACTCTCAATTTCTCCAAGCTTGCCATTGGAAAAAGTTAAATTTAAAAGGGTTCGGCGCTTTCCAAAACTGTTGATAGTTTGGCATACATTGACTTGATAGAGAACTTGCCCGAGGGCTCTAGAACCCATGGCGGTGGCATTGAGAACCCCCGACTTCAAAAACATTATGGGATGTAATTGCTAATACTAGATTCAAAAGAAAGCGGATGGTTCTATTGAAGAAGAAATCAGTATCCAACTTACTCCACAAGAAAAATACCACTTGAGATATATGCATGCATCCACTTCATTGGATGATCCAACGCAAAAGGTATGATACTTTTATTCTTTAGCGCATGTCATATAGAAAAGGTATCTAGCTCATCCCTCTAGCGCTCGTAAAAGAAAAACTTTCCCGAGAAGGCAACAACCATCTCTCCGGAACCTATCGCAAGCCACCAACCCCTATTCGATTGTCACTACGAAAGCAAAGAATGATTCAACCTTGCGCGGGCCGTGGAGACACACACACACCACTACCAGTGGCGGAGGCAGGAATCGTAAATTTATGATTTTAGAGGGGGCCCGATTAAGAAAACATTCCAAAAAAATTACTGTTCATGCCCAAAATGCAAAGAAGTGACTTATGTTGGGGAGGGCCGGGGCCCCTGCTGCCCCCCCGTGCCTCCGCCACTGACCACTACTGCTTACACGCTCGCTTGTATTTGTATCGAAGCCACGCAACAAAAAATAGCTTTCATGTTAGCATTGCATGTAGATAAAAATCATCGAGGGCACCAATTGGGGGAACTAGAATTAAGATGGAACTATGTTCTTGATAAAAACAACCGAATTGAAATACAAGGCAAACCAAAGTTAAGATACAAGAGAGGATCGCGACGAGATTAAGCACCAACACCAACAGATACAAACTACTGCACACGCCCAAACTTCCGTGAACGGCCAAAGTTTTCATGCCAAGACATGTGGACAAACCCCAGTGCGGCGGCCTTTCCTGGCACCGTCACAGAGGACGTGGATAGAGCGAGAGGCAACGAAACACTTACTTCGCAGAGGACGCGGATGGAGCGAGAGTAAACACAGCACTTGCAGTTGCAGCTCATCTTCACCAGGTAAAAAAGAAAAGCAGGACAGGAAGTTCCTCCGTGCTACACGCCGAGAGTAGTGGTAGGGATGATGGCTCGTATCCAAAACCAAGCAACGACGCGGCTCATCCGCGTCCACCCTCTCTGGCCAAGCTATCTGCTACCACAAAAGTATATAACATGGCAGCCTACGAGAACCACCAAAAATAGCCCTTTTCGCCGACTGCAACTGCACCAATTAACTAAGCCAAGCTTCCATTCAGATCAGCAGCAGCAGCTTCCAGCAACACTCCACAGTCTCCATGAGCCCCTCCTGGTCAGGCCATACAACATCATCGCCGCTGCACCTAAGAAAATCCCAGTTGCACCGCACGCGTAAGCGGGATGAAAATCAGGTGACAGGACATGAGAGGCGTCGTCCTGTGGGAACCGACAAGATTGAACTTTTTTGGGGACCATCCAAAGGGTTTTAACGAGTAGCCCCAGGCTGCGTCCGGGATTCCAGCCTTCATGATCACCCACTGGATAGGACAGCAGCGAAAAAATGGGCAGAAACAAGTTGCATCAGTAAGATATTTTTATTATTGCTGTGTCTCCTAAACAAACACCAGTTGCATAACAGGAACAAAGAAGTAGGGGGCATGGAACGTAGGATTAAGATACTCCCAATTTGCTGACACTGCAGGGGGTAGCCGAAGTTTCCAATGAGGGAATCCAGCCTTCTCCATGAAGCAACACCCTGGACAGCACCAGAAACATTGGCAGAAACAAGTTGTGTCCCAGAGATAACTTCATAATTGCGTCCTAAACAAAAACCAGTTGCATACCAGGACGAAGAAGTATATGTAGGCCAAGAGATAACTTCATAATTGTGTCCTAAACAACAACCAGTTGCATACCAGGACAATGGAGCATATGTGACGAAAGAGTGAATGAGTGGCCCGGAGCGCGGTATTAAGATACTCCCAATTTGCTATGCGGCGGCACACAGGCGACATAAATGAATATTCACATTTTGTCGGGCTCTTCCTGTTGCCGACGTAGGCCCCGCGTAGGAGCTTCCCCTGGACCGATAATTATATATATTGCCAAGTGCATGCATGCATGGACATGAATGGCTTGACCTCTTATTTGGAACGAGCAGACACTGTCCAAGTGAGAAGGATCAGACCGTGTAAGAAACCATACCGCTATATCTGCAGAGGGATGCAAAAGAGTGGTTTTCTGCGTTACCTGGAATGAAGCTGCCTATAAGTAGATGCCGCACCATGGAGGAACACTTCATCCCGTTTCGTTTCTGCGTAAAGATACTGAGATTGGACTCTGCTCCTTGTACAGTACTAAGTCAACATGTCTGATGACTCAAGGACTGTCCCTCAGGAGCAGCTCCCCTCCGACAACCTCCACCCGCCGCCAATGCCGGTGATCAACGTGGGTCACCTCAACCTTGACCCAGCGACACGAGCTCGTGTGGTTGAAGATATTACCAAAGCATGCCGTGATCTAGGATACTTCCAGGTATACTCCTTGAGAACATTGCCACACCTTCCTGTCTTTTTCTTTTCTGCCTTTGCCTTGGCATTTATCTTTTCCAGACTGCAATGGATAACATTGCCACTTGTGTCCACAATGTTGACCAAGGAAGACGGCTGTACAGACAAATAAACTAGGAAACCAAACTAGATTTGTGGTTGAAAAACCACTGCAGAAGAGCGACCACAGGAAAATTAGGAGCTATGATGACCTTCGAAATCCTGCGGCTAGCTGTGACAGCACCGCATTGTTAGTAGTAGTACACGCACCATCTTTGGAGCAAACTGCCTGCACTCAGCTAAATAGTTTGATGAGCTCCATCCTCCTTTTGTCCCCCAAAATGAAGAGTATGAGCTGTCTAAACAGTGTATATAAAGTATACTAGAACTCATCACACGACTGTATGAGGAACCAGGGATTGGCGAGAACTGTACGATACGCGGAGGACCAGCTACATTTTGTCGCTTGGTTAGATGGAAACTGATAAATAACATGAAGCTGAGAAGTTCAGTCCCCATTTCGTCCTTCAGTTATCACCGCAATGACATCAGTACTACATTGAAGGTCATTTTAGAGCACTTGTCGGTTGTAGATAATTCCCTTTTCCTGCTACATTCTTAATCTTTTTTTTATGATGTAACATTTCAGTATTGGGAGCATTTGTGAAGTTTTGATCTGTAATTTAGTCTTCATAAAATTTAGAAAAGATATTCTGAAGTACGTACACAACGTGCATGTTCAAGCATCTCAGTTTCCTTCATTTTTTTTAGTTGTAAATCTGTAACAGGGCCTAAGCCTACTCGATATAGATGTCTGGTTCTAGAGCAACAGGGAGCCGGGGTCGACCTAAATGGCTGCATCATTGTCCTATGGGTACATGTGGACATAGCAAGGCAGCAAAGAATATTACTAAGGCGTGTTCTCTGACAGGGTGACCTCTCAGTACGAGAAATAACAAATCATTTATACAGCAGGTGCCTTCTGTGCGTATAAAATGTTTCCAGCTTCAACTCTCAAATATAAGCAATGTCAAGGTTCTCAAGGACCACTACTAAAATTGTAAAACATTAGAGGAGAACTTAAGGCTGTGTAGCTACACTAGAGTTAAGGTACGGCCTTTCATGAACTCTTCTTGGGCACTCTGTCTCTACTAACAAGCAGGTGCAAGGGAACAAAGAAAGCTTACTTGCCTATCTCCATTTTGCAGATTATAAACCATGGGATCAGTCAATCTGTCATGGATGGAGCTGTTGAAGCAGCTTCAGATTTCTTCAAACTGCCAAGTGAGACAAAGGAAGAGTTTGCATCAGACGACCTCCGACGGCCTGTTAGATATGACACCAGCTCAAAGGACGGCATTAGTATGTCACGGGCATACCTAAAGCATTATGCCCATCCCCTGAGTGAATGGATGCAATATTGGCCGGAAAACCCCCCAATCTACAGGCAAAATACTTTCTATAAATCTTCTTGCAATCCTGAACTACAGTATGAAGGTGTAATGTCTGACATAACTCTTCTCTTCATGTACTAAAAACAGGGAGTATATGGGAAATTTTGCTACTGAAGTAAGGAGGGTGGCCTTACAACTAATGGAAGCCATACTAGAAGGCCTAGGATTGGGTAAGGGTTACCAGCATGAGAAATTTGAGCAAGGACTGCAGCTAATGTCAGTGAATTGCTACCCGAAAGAATCAGAAGGTGATACAGCGATAGGGCTGGCGCCGCATTCCGATTATGGATTCCTCACCATCTTGTTCACAAGTTGTCGAGGCCTGGAGGTCGTCGACCGCAACAGCAACAGCTGGAAAGTGGTCCAGCCACTGCCACATGCATTGCATGTCCACGTAGGAGACCACATGGAAGTCCTGAGCAATGGCAAAATCAAGACTGTTGTGCACCGAGCTGTTCTGAATCCTGAAGAGGCAAGGATCTCCATGGCCAGCATTAATGGTTTTGCAATGCATGAGAAGGTCTCCAGTGCCAGAGAGCTCGTGAACGAGCAGAATCCTGAAAAGTACAACGCGAGCAGTTTTAATGACTTCCTCGACTATCTCACAAGCAATCTGGACAACAAGCACCGGAACTTTCTTGAGAGCCTTAGGATGCAAGGGGCGTAGCAGGGTATAATCTCCACTCGAAGCACAAAACGATACCTACGGCAGTTTGTCTCTACGCCTACAACCGTTCATCTCTCTATATTACTTTTGATATGAAAGTACTGAAGTTGGTGTGTGTTGTCATGCTGTTTTGGACAAATTATCTGTAATGTTACTTTCGATCTGAAAGTGCTGAAGTTGTTGTGTGTTGCCATGCTGGTTTGGACAAATTATTAATAATATTACTTTTGATATGAAGGTGCTGAAGTTATTGTGTGCTGCCATGCTGTTTTCCCCTTTCACCCCCAGTATGTTATTACGAGTTTGTATTATTAGGTAAGGAGAAATCCAAGATGTAAACTTTATCTAGTAAGGTACTGTATGCTGTTAGTTGGCCATTTGACTTCAAGTTTCCACGGTGCGCATGAATGAACTACAGTATTTCTCACTTCTAATGCTGCGACACCTTATCAGCAAGGTTGGACATATAACGCGCAATTTAGAATCAGTAAGAACAAGATTGGATTGCGGGGTTCCTCCGTGGATGGATGGGTCTGGAAACAAAATCGAAATGGAGGGCGGAGATGGGGAGGAAACTGCTACCGAACAGAAACCCCAGGCAGGGGCTGGGGGGAGAGTCGGGGCTCCGGTCCCGCGGGCCGCCGGCAACGAGGAGGCGGCAGCGTGGCGGCCGGGGCGAAGTCACCGGCCGCGGCAGTAGTTCCCGTCCCGGAGCGGAGGACGAGCGCGCCGGTGGGGGCGGTCGGTTGCCCTCCGGCCCCATCTCCGGGGATCTCGCCTTGCGCGCCGTGAGCCTGCCTTCTGCGGCTGCTGCGGCGGGCGGCGGCCGAGAAGCGGAACGGCCCACGGGCAGGGGCGAAGGTGGGGCCAGGCCCGGCGGTCCAGTCAACTTTGTGCACGCCTCGCCTGTCAGAGTCATCCTACGCTCAAGTCAAAGCGTAGCCGCAGTCAAAGAAGGTGAAAAATGCTTGGAGAAAATAATCGGCTACAAATATTCCTTCCTTAGAAGGCTTATCCTTTCCTTTTAGGGTATGTCCGAAGCTGTGCTGCCGTTTGTCTGAATTTTCTGGCTAAATCGCCATTAAACTTGTAAGATTTGAAGGCAGTTGGACTTATGCAAGATACTGTACGTGTCTGACAACACGGTCTCACCCAAACTCATCGCCGCACGTCCCGCTTTTGGACATTCGCCGCACACTCATGTCGATCGGCCACTTCATAGCGGACGCGGCTGGACGATGTCGTCCCGACGACGTGACCGGACGGAAGGGGGTTGCTGCTTCAATGTGGACGCGGCGACCGAGAAGCCTACTCGGACCGCTGCGTCACGTTGAAGTGGCGTCGGTCCGCCTACCTAGGCTATTTAAGCAGGGCCCGGCGTTGGATAAAACGCGTCTCCTCTCATGCCCGCACCCCTGTAACCTTGAACCTCTCCTCTACGCTCACCGTTGTCCCCGCCCCTCTCCTCACCTCAACAATGGCAAGTCCAGTCAGCGCGGCTAGTTCTCGACGTTGGCGGGTGGATCTGTCTCTCCCTCCGGATAGTGATGTCGCCACCCACGTTCTCCGAGGCGTTCCTCCACCATCACCCCGTTTGACGAAGGAGCAGATCGTGCTCTCCACCGGGGAAGAGGAGGAATAGCAGCACTCGCCCTTCTCGTGGTAGCCGTTGCGATGGATGAGGAGTACCGCGCGCACCTGTAGCTCCTTCTCGAGCGCCGCTCCGTGATTGCGGTCTAGCGTCGCCCCCACCGGCTCTAGACCGAGAGCCATCATCGCCGCCGCGTCAAGCAGGAGGCTTCCTCCCTCCCACGACACAATTACGACCTCCAAATCGGATGCCACGTCAAGGAGGAGCCGCCATCCTTGTTGCGCAGCACATTCGGCCAAATTGATTGGTCGGTGTCACCATCACACCACCTCTTTGGCGGCAAGGCCTTGAAGAAGGAGGAGCCCTCCACGCTCCCACAACCGCGTGGGGGGGCATGTCGTGAAAGCACCTTTACGGCGGCCGAGAGGGCGGCAAGGGTGCCGGTGGGAATGACGCAAGTGAAAGTGCGTTATATCGACTAGAGGGGGGTGAATAGGCGTTTTTTATGAAAGTCTTCAAAACATGAAAGTTATGAAGACAAACGATAGAAATAAACCTATTACCCGACAGCGGAAGGTAGACTACACTAGGCAAGCCATAGTCAAGTATTCAATAGAGTGAAAGCACAATGACTAATAGCAGCAATGTAGTAAGGATCAGGTAGGAAGATATTGTGAAGCCACACAGAACACGCAGTCACTCAGTGAAGACAAAAGATAGTGCGAACATACAATGACTTCACAAGGAGTAACAGTAAGTAAAGGGAGGGGAAGATGAAACCAGTGACTCACTGAAGACAATGATTTGTTGGACCAGTTCCAGTTGCTGTGACAACTTTACGTCTGGTTAGGGCGGCTAGGTATTTAAACCTTAGGACACACAGTCCCGGACACCCAGTCCTGAACACGCAGCTCAGGACACCCAGTCCTCACCGTATTCCCCTTGAGCTAAGGTCACACAGACCTCGCCCAATCACTCTGGTAAGTCTTCAAGGTAGACTCCCAAACCTTCACAGACTTCGTTCACCGACAATCCACAATGTCTCTTGGATGCTCAGAACGCGACGCCTAACCGGCTGGAAGATGCACAATCCTCAAGTGTAATAAGTCTTCAGATCACACAGACAAGAAGACTTAAGTGATGCCTAATTCTCTTTGGCTCTGGCTGGTTAGGGCTTTATCCTTGCAAGGAATTCTCTTTCAAAGGCTTCGAGGTGGGTTGCTCTCAAACGACAAAAGCCGTACTCTGAATCTGAGCAGCCAACCGTTTATGGTTGTAGGGGGTGGGCTATTTATAGCCACTTGGCAACCTGACCTAATTTGTCCGAAATGACCCTGGGTCACTAAGGAACTGACACGTGTTCCAACGGTCAGATTTCAAACTCACACGACAACTTTACTTGGGCTACAAGCAAAGCTGACTTGTCCGACTCTGGACAAGATTCGCTCTCATAGTCTTCACTCGAAGACATAGGTTTTGGTTAGGCATCACTTCAGTCATTCTGACTGGTTCTCTTGGACCCCACTTAACAGTACGGTGGTTCCTATGACTCAACACAGAAGAAAGAGAACTACGAAAGATCTAAGTCTTCGAGCTCCATAGGCTTCATGTGGTGTCTTCTCTTGTCATAGTCTTCAATGTGAATATCTTCATATACCACCTTTGACTTCAATGTCTTCATACATTTTTAGGGGTCATCTCTGGTAGGAAAACCGAATCAATGAGGGACTTCTACCTGTGTTATCCTGCAATTCTCACAAACACATTAGTCCCTCAACTAGGTTTGTCGTCAATACTCCAAAACCAACTAGGGATGGCACTAGATGCACTTACAATCTCCCCCTTTTTGGTGATTGATGACAAACTAGTTGAAGTTTTCAACAGGGAATATAATCTGTGAAATTGTAAAGGATAAGGAATTGTCTTCATAAGTTGCAAGGGCTCCCCCTGAAGATGTGCATATAAGTAATTTGCTTTTGGAATGCAAATGCACATGGCAGGTTGTACTTGTGGAGATCCACTTCAATTTATGATGACAATCCACTATGCATGTGAAAGTATATGAAGATAATGACATGCATAATGGAAAATGGATGTCTGCAGAATGATCTAAGTGCGGAATTTACCGTCGCACATGCGGAATTTATCATCGCAACACAAGGTGGCAGATAAGTAGCAGACGACCATCGAGTTTAAGTGTTACAACTCAAAGAACCAAATGTAGCAAAACGAGAGTTGTAAGCACGAAGCAAAATATAAAGCACCCGCCCATATGGACCCGCTTGAAGACTATCAACCTCATATGCTTCTCCCCCTTTTGTCAGTAAGGACCAAAAAGGTTTGAAGACATAGAGCATCTACTCGTTCCCATGAGGAGTAGGTGAAGCAGCAGGGTCATTGGTGGTGTTTGGCGGTGCTGAAGAGCTTGGAGCAGAGTCGAAGCGTGCTGAAGGAGGTGGCGGTGAAGTAGCATCATCGTCATCCTCGATCACTCTGGCATTTATAGTTGCAGCAGAGGAAGAGAACTCAGAGTCTTCAAGAGATGGAGTTCGTCGCAGCACAGCCCTTCGAGGAGGTGTGGAGTCAAACTTGAAGCGCTCAGTGAAGCCATCCTCTTGAAGATCATCTTCAAAACACATCAGCGTTAGCCCTTTCCATGTGCGGCGAGAGGTTTCATGGGCAACAGAAGCATTCTTGGTGGCAAGATTGCGAATGCGATTAACATCCACCAAGAGGCTTTGCATCTGACGCTTCAGCCAGTCATGATGCCTATCCTGTTTCTGATGAAGAGCCACAAGAAGCTCTCGGTCGTTGAGAACACGAGTGCGCTTCTTGGGTCGTGGAGCAGTTGTACTGTCAGTGGCTTTAGTGAGAGCAAGATGCGGTGCACGTATAGTGCCAGCCAAAGGATACACACGAGTTACGGCTTCCACGCCTTCAATGTTCTGAGTGAAATTTTGATGCTCTGCATTCTGAAGACCGAGAGGTTCCTTGGCAGGCTCAGGATAGATGGCTTCAATAGACATATCCACATCAGGCAAAAAGATCCGATGGTTGCGGGCCAAGGGCTGATATGAGATAGCGGAGTGAAGTTTGATCAGCCGCATCACCCAAGGGGCGTAGAACTTGACGACTGAACCTAATATGAGTCAGATGCTCAGTATGATGAGCTGGAGGGTCGGTCAAGAAGCGGTCGGTCAAACTCCACTTGACGAGCTGGAGGGTCGGTCACAATCACGTTCTCCTCGAGAACCGCTTCTTGGTGGGACAGGGGAGTGGCAACTTGTGGGACTTCTTCTTCCGCGGCTGATGCAGCCGGATTGTCTTCAGCAGAGACTTGAGGCCTTGGACCTTTGCGAAGCCTGCGCAACGCAGGCGACGCCTGTGTAGTTGGAGTTGCCTGGGCCTC